TACAGATGGCTCTCAGGAGCCAATTTTCCCGTTGCAGTACTTGATCCGACTACGTTGACCCTCCGTCAACTTCCAAATAAAGAACAACCAGTCCAGTAGAACACCACTTAAACTCCAAATCCCGTTCACCATTCATACCCCTTACCGGGCCCGAACGCCAAATAAAACAGGAATGGTAATACTCGAGTATACCAGAATCAAGAGTCTCAATACTCAAAGATTCCATAAAACAGGCACCCACGGATTGTCAATTTCCTCGACCAAGCCCTTGCATGGCTCGATTTAACAAGGAGGCCGTTGGACGCATCCAAACGACATTATAACAAGTGCGGGTAACAGGCTCAAGTTCATAACATGTACAAGTGATAGATTACAGTTTATACCACACAGGCAAGAGTACGAGTGTGATAAAGTACACCCTCGTCTCAATCACACTAAACAGGATTCACAGTCATTCATGTCATAGATTTCACGTACAGATAATTCAAGTAGCAACAATACAAGGGGTGGTACACTCACCAGATCAAACAAGAATAGTTTCAAAAGTTTCCTTGCCAAGTGTGATTTTACTCGCTGGCACGTCCTAGAACAAGCAAGACAAACACTTAAGACTTGACATTAAAATTGAATCAATGAAATTTGCAAGTAACTCGGTTACAAGTCCTGTGCGTAACCACATGAACCATTAATGCAAGGCAATGCGACTTCGGAGTGAAAAGGAGTAACAATCGGTCTTAAAGGTATGAACAACCTCAATACCCTACCTATCATAGGTAACCAACTCCAAAGTTGAAGTAGAAAATGAATGTACAATCATTACTCGGAAAACAGGATTTTCCAGTTTTGCACAACCCTATAAGAAAAATCGTATCTCAAGTTTTGTAAGTCCAAAATTGATAAAATTTACACCGTTGGAAACTACATTCAAAGGGTTATAACTTTCCAGAAAACACCATCTTAAGATTCAGAACGCAAGTTGGTCAAATTTAAGTCGCAAGGTACTGCTTTAACCATCACAAGACAGAACAGGTTACAATTCTCAGTTAACTTTGAAAAACTCCATAAATTTCACAGATAGAAACAGGGTCTGAAACTTACACGGTGTATAGCCCTCTGAGTCTAGTTTAAAACGCAACAAACGGAACTCAATTCCGATATTCCTACATCAAGATATAGCAATTTTCCTAAGACTGCGCAGGAGCTCTTACGAAAATTTTGACAGCACTTCCCTTAGTTTTTCCTTACTTTTCCAACCAAACCTCAATACCAATTCATTCCTCAAATTCACCACAATCTTCCCCACAAATAACAAGCTATAAAACACCTTTAATGAAGACCACAAGATCCTTCAAATGCATCCAAGTAAAAGATAAATTATAAACCCTAAAACCGGAAATTTTGCTACAAAAGCAGATATTCTTTGAAGACAAGTAAAACCAACATTCTCAAGCTCAAAATTGCTCTTATCAACTACCAAATCATGCCCAAACATTAAAACCCATAAAACAGAAATTTTACCTATAAAACAGAAATTTGCTATACCTCTACTTAAACCCATAAACTTAGCTACAAAACTACACATGTAACCTCTCCAATCCACTACTTTGCAAGCATAAGAAGTACAAGGAAATTTCTAGATAGTTTACCTTGAAACTTAAGGAGAAATGATAGCTTAGAGCTCCAACTCCAAAACTCACTCCACCAATCCCTTAAACTCCTCCTAGCTAGCACTTGTATGGAAGGAATTAGAAATCAAATGGTGAAATCTCAAGATTGAAGCCAAATTTGAAGTTAGGAAAAGAGAGCTTTGCTTGGTCTTTTCTCTCAAAAGCCACGGCTGAGCAAGGAAGAAATGAAGATATTTTTGGACCAAAAAAGATAAGAAGGAAGAGAAATCGCAGGTCAAACCTGCTGTCTCATCAGAATCGGCCGGTTTCTGGCCGGATTTCCGGCCGGATTCCAGGCCGGATATGAGGCAGTAGCTAACCAAATTTTTTTTTCCAAAACGTCAAGCAATCCGGCCAGCAATCCGGCCAAGAACTGGCCGGATTTCCGGCTGGATTCGGTCCTTTAGTTCTTTCACAAACTTTTCCCTTTTTTTTTTTTTCCAAGTTCCATCCAATGAATCTATATTCAAAACTCATGCACAAATACTTAATACACACAACACATGTTCACCTATATGAAATGAAACCCTCCTTAGTATAAGGTAACAAATTCTTTTTATTTTCAAAAGGTAAAAATAAGCCTCAAGAAATGCGGAGAAAAAAATTAAAATTTAGGGTTCTCACAAAAATATTCTGAATGGTCGTTACTTTCATTTTTTCAAGGGTACGAGTTTCAGCCAAATTTTAGTTTATGTACTTCTACGAAAGAAGACTCGAATACCATAGACAATCCAAGTTCAATTCGACCTCAAATCTTTACTCAAATCGCGAGTACACACACCTAACCCTTGAGTAAAAATTTGGGCGGCATGCCCTTTTTATTTAGATATTTTTCAGCCATTTATGGCTTCATTATTTTTCTCAACTCAGCCCAAATTCACACATAAGCAATCTTAACACAATAGCCCTTCAACTAGGTTCAATGTCATCCAAATACAAGGCAATTCTAGCAATGCAACCATCAAAATCAAAGTTAGAAACTAGTATTAAAGACGAATGGCTAAGTAGCAGGTTTCACGTCTTTTGGCATTTTGGTCACAACTGAAACTACGCTTATTGGATTGGGGTAAATTTTATGGCGTTTCGAAGTTAAGGCAGACACCTACATTTCCAATGAAACAAAAAAAAAAAAGACATCGACACCCACATCTTGCATTTTCAAGGTCAAAATATGAAATCTCAGAGAAAACAGAAAGCTACTTGTGAAATAGGGTTTTTGGCAGTCAGGGGTATCTTAGTCATTTCACATGCGACAGTACTCCAATTGAACTGAAATTTTACAGGCAGATATTAAATCAATTCCATACAACTTTCATGTTTTGAGCAAGACCCGATTCAGCCTCTATCGTCTAGATTCAGCCTCTATCATAGACAAATATGCAGGTCAGAAAAGGGCAGATTCATCATCAAAGCCGGAAATTCACTTCTACTCTAAAAATTCATATCCTAGTTCATTACTATCAAGTACCATATCATTAAAACCATCAATTACTAGGTCAATACCATAAATTACTAGGTAGACAACCATAATCAAGGCTGAAAATGTAAACCCTAGCTAACCCTTCAGTATCTCATCCAAAACTGAATCATTAACCATAATAAGTGAAGAATATAAGCTTCTATCCAAATTTAAACAAGATTAAGGAAGAGAAAAGGAAAGGAAATCATAATACCTTACTAAGCTACTTGTAGGTGAAAAACTAGCCCATTTAAAATTTTACTACACAAAACTTGCCAAACACCACAAGATAAGTTTAATCGGTTTATATTTTGAGATTTCACACTCAAACAAGATGGATTCAAGGTGAAAGTTGAACTTTTCTCTTTTGTGTTTCTTCCTCTCCTCAAAGCTCGGCCAACAAGTCAGAAAATGGAGAAGAAATGAAGTTAAAAGAATGATAAGAAGATAGGAATTTGTTTGGTCAAAGTTGGATGGATGGTCGCCAAGTGTCACCGCGAGATTAAAGCTCAAAATTTTCTTCTTTTCCTCCTTATTTTGGTCAAGATTTTCTGCTGGTTGGGAGGATATTTTAGGGTTAATTTTGCTGAAATAAAAGTAAGGAGATTAAGGTAATAAAGTAGGGTTCAAGTAGTGCACTCATTCGGTAGCAAACGGTGCATGTCGGTTCACACCATTTTTCCTAGGAGATTAAGGTAATAAAGTAGGGTTCAAGTGGTGCACTCAATCGGTAGCAAACGGTGCATGTCGGTTCACACTGTTTTTCCTTAACTCGCCCGTACTAGTGTTTTAACTTATGATTCACTAACTTATTATTATCACTTCTATTCACACACTTTCTTTTATCTAAAATTCACTCTTAACCACCGAATTTAATACACACACCTCACCACCTTATCACACTACCAAGATACGCAAAAATCCTAATTTACGCTAACTATAAAATTAAAGATGAAACACGTGATTCTATGATTTATTGCAACTATTGAGGAAGTGAATTAGTAGTAAAGCTATTATAAAATAATTTATTCAAAACAAAAGGAAATTTTAAGGAAATATGAAGGATTTTGCGAGTCCTCACACAAGAGATAGTTATCATCAGATTTTTAGCATTAGAACTTAGAAGTTAGTCTTGTTTTGTTCTCTATAACTAGAAACTTTTATGAAAACAATTGGAGACTTTATTATACAACTCATTTGTTGATGAAAAAGAAGATCATTGGGAGCTTCTTCATTAATCTTGGCTAAGCTTTCTTTATTTATTTTTTACTTATGATTCAATATATGTTCTTGCAATGAAACCATGTTCTTTCTTGTTATATCTTATATGAGTAGTTATGTTTTTAGATCTAGGGAGTAGATGAATCTTATGGCTGCATAATATGAAGTGAATATGATTTACACTTGTTATATCTTGTATTAACTTGTCGTTTATGCATGCTAATCACTTGTTATTGCTTGATCACCAATAGCAAGCTCTTAATTATTATTATTCAATGAAAGTTGGTAATAATAATGGAAGAACATAAATAGAGCTTAAGTAGTTGACCATGAGAATAGAGATACACTTAAGTGTATTAAACTTGCATTTCATGAACGAAACAAAAGTAGATCTAATTATTCACCATGAGAATAGGAAAAACTAGTCTATTCTAGACCATTTTATCATGAGAATGAGATTTGATAATATTGGAAATGAATCCCTAGTTAAACAAGAGTTGTAACAAGAGATAAATCTATTTATTTGTATCTTTATGTCATAAGTGGAATCTATGTCCCTAAACTCAAGTATTTGGTGAATTTTCTGCATTGTTATCTGCAAATATCTAGAAGATACATTAACAGCAGCCATTGCAAAATGTGATGAGAGGAAATCACTCGCTTTCTGAATTGGCACCAAGAAGATGCCATAGATCAACAATAACGACCTTTAGATCCTCATTTCCCACATCCATCTGTTCTTGCTGAATTTGCTTCACAGAATTTACGGCAGACTTAGAACACTGTTTCACCTCAATCGTATCAAGAGTGAGGGTTTCCCCTAAACAACAAGGGACCTCTTTGAGGCGATCGCAATTATACAAAACCAATTTCTCAAGACAGCAAAAATTATCAGAAGAGGCAGTCCACCAGCGAATGTCCAACTTTGACAATTCCAAGAATCGGAGGTTTTGGAACTCCCCGTCTTCCATTTCCCATTTTTCCCCCACAAAGGAATCATCGCGTAATTTAAGTACTTCAAGGTTGGGCAGCTTTCCAATAGCTGAAATTTTACTCCATGGCTGACGATTATGTAAGAGACTTAACTTTCTCAAATTCAATGGGAATTCAAACTCAGATCCGGCAAATCCACCCATCTTAAGTGATTCTAAACGACTCAAGTAGTCCAGCATGAGAATCCCATTGTAATTTCTAGGAGATGCGTTGTATTCAGAAATCCATTTGTCAGCCCCATGCATGCATGTTAGCCTGCGGATGCTCGGTAACTTTGAGAGTATCTTTTGCAAGCTTTGACTTTCAGAAGAGGGATCGATTGCAAGGGATAAAGTTTCTAAGTGTTCTAAATCTGGAGAGCCTTCAAGATTGTCGACGGGAAATTCAAAACCACGTCCATTATTTGAAAAAATTTCAAAACTTGGAAAAACAACAAGATGGTTTAATGTTTTAATGTTCCAGATAGTGTTCGGTAACTGAAATTTATGAAAGGGTCCTCCTACGGCAAAAGTTTCTAACCTTGAGAGGTTGGCTATTGCAGATGGAATTTTCGTGCTGCCCAATTTAATTCTCATGTACCTCAAATGAACAAGGAATAATACTTCCCTTGGAAAATATGGACAAAAGATCTCCTCCAAATCCAGCACTCTAAGAAGTTTATATAAGAGAAATTTGTGTGACTTGTATAGCTGCAGTCCATGATTACAATCAAAGAAGAGCAAACAACGCAAATTGGGAAAAAACTGCCATGACTTTGTAGGTCCCCCACTGGTGGTAGGGAAAATGGACAGCCGGTAGGGGTTACACGGTCCAGTAAGAAGGTCATATCCATGTAAAATCTGTAGAAAATTTTCTTCTTTTGCTTTTGCCATGCAAAACTCATGTACCAAATCATGAATTCGGCAAACTTTGATCCCACCTAAAGATCTTCGTTGAGTAGCCATAACTAAACTTCTCCCAATTAGATCCATCAAATAGTTGTCCACCATATCCTCTAAACTCTTTCCTTCAGTTTTTAGCACAAATCCTTCAGAGATCCAAAGCCGTAACAACTTTCGGACAGGAATATCTCGGTCTTCTGGAAATGCACCCAAGTAAAGAAGGCATGGTTTTAAATAATATGGTAAATAATTATAACTGTGCTCAAGTGTCTCCATGCAGTGTTCATTGTCCACAAAAATGGTGGAACTTAGATGTCTTGCCACTTCTTCCCAGCAGTCTTGCTGAGTAGTACCGAGAATTCCAACAACAAGGACAACTGCAAGCGGCAGGCCCTTACAATATCTTGCTACGTGCAGTACAACTTCACTTAATGTTGAAGGACAATCTTCAATCTTCTTTGGCAAATAGCTTCTTTTGCAGCAATTCCAAACTCTCTTTATCAGTAAGTGGGCGAAGATGGTGAGGCTTGCTATCAGGTTTAATTTGCAAAGATAAATTCTGGAATCTACTAGTTAAGAGTATCCTGCTTCCATTGCAATCATCTGGCAATGAGTGTTTCAACAAATTCCACCCGTCAATGTCCCAAACATCATCCAAAACAATGACATACCTCTTTCCTTTCAATTGTTGGTATAGCTTTTCAGCCAAATCATCTTCATTCATCTTATGATATTGGTCAGAACTCCTAGAATCAATAACACACAAAATCTGCAATAACAAATTGTGCTTGCTATATACTTGAGAAACAGTATGCCAAGCACGAATGTGGAAGTGGAACTTTATTGAATGATCACTATAAACTTTACTAGCTAATGTTGTCTTACCAAGCCCAGGCATACCCACAATGGCAACAATATCCAACTGCCTTGATCCTCTCACAAGTCTATCAATTATACATTCTACCTCATCATTGAGACCCACCAGAGTTTCGTTGGATATTGAAGCAGTAACTTGTGATGGCATGTTAATGGTAGTCTTGGTAACTCTCTGGGGGGTTGACAGGTGCCGAACCTGTGCAATAATAAATACCTGCTCAAATAAAATACAAATTCTGTATATAGCGGTAAGCATGGTCGAATCCACAGGGACTGGGGATAATTTAATTTCTTCTCAAGTTCCAGATATGGGGGTTTTTGAAAATGAGAGTAACTAAATTGCTTGGAATAAATTAAAATAAAATAAAATAACTACAACTCAAATAACTAATTATCACAATAAAAATAATAATTGACGAACTCTAGCCAAGAGACAACTTCGGAGATGGTTCACTTAATTCGATCACAGATGCAAGGATTATTCCAGTTACTATCTGATAAATTAGTTATAGTTGTCATACACGCGATAAACAACCAACTCTTCCTCAATTTGTCGATAGCCAAGGTACGACTGTTGACTATTTCTCTAATCAGGAAATAACCCTAAGTACGACCATAGAAGTTCAATTCCCTAATTGCATGAATAATTAGAAGAGCCTAATTCTAACCAATCAACACGCTACGAGGGTCTCTTTAAGTTAGCCTGTCTATCCCCCTGACACAAATCCAATCATGCCAGTTGCCACCAGTTTAGAATAATTAAACAATTACGGATTTAACTATCCTAATTGGCTTCAGGTTATTGAATTAATCTAGAATCCGGGCCCTGGATAATCGAATAATAAAACAACCATATGAACATAAAGCAGAAGATAGACAAATACCAGTGAATAATGGAAATAAATAAAAACTAATTCGATCTCACAAATTTAGTAGAACCAAGTCCTCCGTTGTTCTTGACTAGACAAACTTAGCCACGTCTCATGAGAAAATCTTCAAGTAATTTCATTGAGGTCCAGGCCATCCAAAGAGCCAAGAAAGAAACAAAACTAAACTATCCTAAAAAACTCTCAATTCCCCAAAGATAAAGCCGCGGCCAAAGGAAAAGAATTGTCTCCTAATCTAAAACAAATTGCTTCACTTCTCTCCGTGGTCCCCACGAATTAGCACAAGCCTGCCGAATTCACCTCCTTGTTTTGAGCCCCTGTGCGGTCCCTACCGAATTGAGCAAGAGTACAAGTAAAAGTGGGGCTCTGACGAATTGTTTTCTCCCTATTCTTTTCGTTTCCAAATGCTACTCAGCCTCCCCCTATTTCCGTTTGTTTCTGCCGAAGATAAGGAAAAGAAAAGACAAAAGGTCTCAATGTCCTTCTTTTTCGTTTCTTCTTCATAGTCAGACTCCTAGTCAGCAAAAGGGAGCTGGAAGTCCGTTTCTTCTCAGCAACGCGGGCCAGGTTTGTGAAGTTTTTTAGAAGTCTCCCTTTTCTCCAGAAATTATCCCCTTTTTCGTAATTTCCTGCTCCATTCCCTGAAATTAAGTCCCAATACCAAATATAAGTACATTTCAACAATTAAAACAATATTTGGCAAGAACAAAGAGGGAAATTAATCATAAAATTAACAACAAATTATGCCCTATCAATTCTCCCCACACCTAAATCATGCTTGCCCTCAAGCATGAGAACAACAATTGAATACCGAAATTTAATAATGGCTATTGTTCCAACTACCGTATTGCCAAGGTACCCAGAAAAACATATGTCAAGCATCACGGGTTAAAATCAAAGAAAAACCACCCGGTTAGCTTCCCAATCACCAACTCCTCCAATTTAAAGCAAACTAATCTAAGGAAAAGGAATGGTTGCTCACATCTATCAGTAAATGGTCCAACTATTAATAAAAATCTCGACATTAAGATCACAAACCGACAAGCTGACTTGTTCACATACTAACACAATATATTATTTTATTTTATTTTATTTTTTATTTTATTTTATTTTTTTTTTTGAGTAACAAAAGACTTAGTCCATAGCCCTTAGAACCTTTTGACGCGAACCCCAACATTTGATAGATGGAGGAGCCCGGTTACTCAGCTCCAATCGCTACAGGACCACGCACTCATAGCAATTACTACCTTTTGACGCGAAAATCGACACTTTAGGTGAAGATCCCCGGTTACTTAGTAGTAACTACTAGCAGAGTACAGTCAGCTCTTATTTACAACCATACAGCACAATAACTAAAAATAACACAAAGATAACAGCAGCCAGCCTCAAATTTCCAAATATGGAGAACTAAAATTAATAATTGGACCAATTCACATAAAAAAAAATGCCAACTATCATTCCCCATGCCTAGAAAAGTTAACCAAAAATTGGAAAAGTCAAGCAATTACCGATATTCACCAGAGAGATGTTCATGAACTCAACCACATTAATTTAATATCCTTTTGTTAATAATACTTGGCAATAGCAGAATTAGAGACAACAATCCAGCATCAAACTTGGTATTCATATGAAGACTGACCACTAGAAAAAAAAAAGGAAATAAAATAAACGAAAAAGGAGATAAATATCAAACTAAAACAAAGGAAAAACCTCTAGAACAAAAAAAAAACTAAAAATACTAGCACCCAAACTGACCCCCCCCACACCTAATTCACACATTGCCCTCAATGTGCTAAATAAACAGTAATAGTAAGCAAAAGAACAACGGTACTTCCCTGAAATCACGGAGATCATGGCAGGGCCACAGCAGTGGGTGAGGCGAGGCTTGGTTGAGTTGGGTTGGAGTAGGTTAAGGTCAAGAGATTCTGGACCTAGAAGAGAACCTTGATCTCACTATTGCCGCTAACAAGTAACCCAATCAACAGAAACAAAATTGCCAACATATAGAGGAACAAGTAAATGCAGATCAGTAGAAATCAACATCCTCTAATGAAGTCAACAATCAACCCAATAAGCACAGGTATCTCCCAATTCAAAAGGGTAGTGCGTAATAAATGGCCCACCAAATTAGCAATTTAAAGCCCTGAGCAATTTAAGCCCAACAAGTCAATCAGTACCAGAAAATCATTCCAAACAATGTACCAGTTAAACTCCACGGGCAAAGGACGTCCAACCAATTTCACTCAAGCAAACTAGGAGCAATGCGACTGATTAAACAAAGCAACAAATTTCAGCAATTGGACACATATCCACCCAAAATCCCCACAAATGCCCCCAAGAATTCAGCAAGTCCAGTAATAGCAGGTCAGAATTTAGGCAATAACAACTTAGTCACAAGCTCGGAGCTTTCAATCAAGCAGCCAACCAAAGAGAATGAATAAATGTTAGGCAAACTACCACATCCAGTACCACTGGTGTACGCACAGAGAAGAATTAAATCAAACGGCAAACTCAATTCACTAAGAAACCCCAAACAATCAACTTAGCAACTAACTTAATTTATGGCAACAATCAGCGTAATAAAAGCCAGTGTGTCACAGGTAAGCCGACAAATGACTGACTGGAGCCAACCAGAGCTCAACACAGACCCACAGAAGGCAATTACGGAATTAATTAGGCAAAAATGCAGCAGAGGAACCACAAGTGAGTTCAGCAAACAAATTTCCAAAGTAACGCCCAAAAAAACAAAGAGGAGTGGAGAGGAATAAAAACCGATGATCCCTGAAGTAAGAGGATGGCGTGGATGGGCGGCACCGTACGGCAGCTATGGAGGCGCGCCCGGCTGCGCGTGGCTGTCCAGGGGTGCGCTGGGTGGCTGTCGCACGCGAGAGAGATTGAGGGAGAGTGAAGAGCCGGTGGAGGGAGCTGGTGGCACGGCTGAGCTGAGGAGAGTTGATGGTGGGGGTCGCAAGCTTTGGAGGAGGAGCCAGCGAGCTGTGGGCGGACGGCCGTGGGCAGGGGAGCAGTGGCGGCCTTTGGAGCTGCTGAAGGTGGAGACGAGCTGGCGGTGCAGAGCTGGTGGTGAACAGCAGCGGAGAGAGAAGTGAGAGAGCGCAGGGGGCTGGTGGAGGTCCCCTGCTTGTTCGCACGATGCAGCGCGGCGTAGCGCCTGGGCTGGAGCTGCGGTATGTAGGCGCGGCTGCCAAAAATTCAACAGCGCTTGTGCAGAGCAACAGCGGCGAGCAGCGGCGGTGGCAGCTGGGTTGCGCGCAAGGGGGTGCTGGACAGAGCAACGGGCAGCGGATGGCGTGCGTCCGTGGCATTGGGAGGCGGCGGCGGCGGCGACTGGCGCGAGTGTGGCTGGCAGGAATGGTGGCGGAAGACAGCGGTGGTGCTGGGCGTGCGGCAATGGCGAAGCTGGGGAAGAGCTTGCGGAGGTGAGCTGAAGTGTGGCTGGCGAATTGATGTGGTGGTGGAGCTGGATGGTATGGGTGAAAGGGCGGCGGCCGGAAGAAGAAATAAAAGAAAACGGAAGCAGGGCAGCGGGGAAGAAAGAAAGAAAGAAAGAAAGAAGAAAGAAAGAAAGAAAAAGAAGAAAAGAAAAGAGAAAGAAAAGAAAAAAAAATAGTTTTTGGGAATTTTTTTTTTTTTTTTTTTTTTTAGTCAAGGACCCTCTGGCTAAGGCGTGGGCACGCCTAACTGCCCCTAGACTTTTGACCATCCGTCGAAAATTCTCGATCCGTTAGCGTGACCACCTAGCGTGGGCACGTCTAACTGTTATAGAGTCCGCAGAACCTGAACGAAAATTTACTCCGTCAGGCGTGACCATCTAGCGCGGGCACGTCTAACTCCTATGGAGTTCGCAGAACCTGAGCGAAAATTTCTTTTCCTCAAGCGTGACCATCTGGCGTGGGCACGTCTAACTCCTATGGAGTTCGCAGAACCTAAGCGAAAATTTCTTTTCCTCTTACGTGACCACCTGGCGTGGGCACGCTCAACTGCCATTTCCCTGCCACCAAACATCAAACCATTAATTGACACTAACACTTAACTAAAACTTTAAAAATGCATGAAAACTAAAGCAAATAGTCTTGGGTTGCCTCCCAAGTAGCGCATTTCTTTAATGTCTTTGGCTAGACATTTTCATGTGTATTCATGGAGGATAAAATCTTGTGGCTCGTTTCAGTGCTTCATCTTCTATGTAATCCTGATAGCCCTCGTAAATGGAGTAATTCTTGGGCACACGAGCTACGGGCTTCCA